CAGGAATAGTCATCAATCCTACCAGTCACAGCCATATTCTGCAAACTCAACAATGTATATGCTGATGAGGACAAACCATCACCATTTTTTGTGGGCACTGTTATCCTTTTAGAAGAAACTGTAATGTACTTGGTGACAATTTTTGACTGACAATTTCATCAGCCACATTCACACCATAACCAGAGCTATCTCGGGCATCAATGCACTGAAAGATGTAACAGGAAATAGAGCCAAGGAATTTCACTTATGTTATAACAAAGTCTTATCCATCACCTCCTGGACTATATACTACTGATGATCAGTATGAGGGCTACATAGCTGGATAAAATTAAAAAAATGCAAAACTCCTGTTTAAGACTGGATGTATATACCAAGCCATGTAGAGATAAAGCTAAAAGAGGAAGCTGAAATCCAGCTCAACTCTACTGGCAGGATATCAACTACCTCTGCATTGGTAAGGTGAAGGGAGCAACCATGGAAGGTATTCATTGATTTTCAGGGGAAAGGAAACTGCTGAAAGTACAAAGAATGGAAGTTTATCTTTTTTTCATTGTGAATTGTATGATGGGAAGCTTTCTGTTCAGGAAATAGAAAAAGATAAACTGACATTCCTTTACATGACGATTACTAAGACATGCAACTCATACCACAGGATCCACAGATATGGGTAAGGAACTTGACTATAAATCAAACCACTCCAACAGTGTAAAGACAGACAATTATAGGCTGCCTAGTTTCTAGAATTAACAAGATTTCTAAGACTGAAGAACATGGAAGAAAACTCTCTTTAACAACGGATACTAAGAACACTTGATAAAGACTAAACACCGATAATAGACAGTAAGAAATTTAAAGACATACAACCATTCTCTCCTATGTCAGAGGGCTCTTTAATAACAGCAACAAGTTGGGATAGTGTTCAGAAGCCACAACATAATAATATCACAATTAGTATACTCCATACCATGTGAAGACCCAATGCAGAAAGGGAAAAACTTTTACAGCATCTTATGTGAATGTGGATTCCAATGCATTGGAGAAACAAAAAAGATTTGCAAGAGAAGCAAAATAGAAGTTTAACTGATAACATCCTCAGTCTATATAGCATAGGAGTCAGCAAAAGCTGGATACCCATCTTAAAACAGAAACCACAGTAAATTGAATAACATCCAGTTATCCATCAAGCAAACCATAGTATAGAATCCAACCACTTCCAACACAAAAATAGTCTTTCTCAGGACTTCCCAGAAAATGTTGGCTGATTAGCAGCCCAAACATTGGATAAAAACTAGTTAGTAACTATTATCTAGTTATAAAAAAAGAATACATAAATAAGAACAACTAAAAACTAATTAATAGTCACTTATTAATGATAATGATTGTCTGATTCCCACAATTTTACCATAAGTACTCAGGCATTAAATATTGGGTATTCCTAATGCTCTTGAGCTTGAATAGTAGAGAATACATTTATTAATGGAAGGAATTTTGTACTGCTGAGAGAAAATAATAGGTACTTGCATATCATAGGTTTTATATCCCAAATTTATAATAAGTCATGAAAATTTAGATTTTTTTTTTGTGTAAAGAAAGGCATAAATTTCAATGTTTATTTTTCAAATGATATTTAAGTTAGGAAGATTTAAAAATTTGTACTATTAACAGAAAGGATTAGATGCTTTACTATACAATGAAAGTTGTGTACAGTTGCAGAAGATGCAAAATTTAGTTAAGAGTGGTTGGTTTCTTTCTTTTTTTATATATATATATATATCTTTAAGATGCTTTTCCAGAGGAATTTTTGTGCCTGATATTAAGATCATTAGCTGCATGGTTGCATAGTGTGCATACTTATAATACTGTATAATCAGTATGTAAAAATTGATAATAAATTTTGTGTGTTCTTTTCTTGTATTATAAATTTGTTACTAATTACCTAAATGCTGTTTTTTTTTTCTGTAATATTGTATTTAATGTATAGTGTGTTGGTTAAAACATGCTAATGCATCTTCATCTGATTTATACTCTTGTCATTAATAACATTGAAAGTGTTATCTCCCTTGTTTGTATTATTTAGTGTGTTATGTAACTATTTGTCACACCATTTCTGCCCATAAACTTCAAGGTATCACATTTCAGAAGTGATTTGGTTATGGACTTAATATTATTTCTTATTGAACTATGTATTAATAAATTACCTGAGTGACTGTAAGGTTGGCATTAATATACAACACAGGTTGCATGGCATAAAATTTTGAAGTCAATTGAATCTGCTAGAAGATCTCATCGTGAAACCTCATCAAGGAAATGATGTTGTCATGTTTAACAAAGTGTTTTAGTATTGATAGTTTTATTTAATACTTAATGTAATGTTTCAGACTCTGATTAAAATAATCATAGAAATTAAATTACACGGGTATTCATTAATTGTGAAAAAATATCAATTTCTGAAGTTTATGATCAGGTTCACCCAGTTGGTTCACATTGATGTTTGGTAGGTTCTTTCAGAAATATGAAAATAACAAGGTCTTGTTTCAAATATTGGTATGTATAACTGTTAGTTGATAGGTTTTTAGTTGATATTACAACTCCCTTTCTGGAAAATTGACTTACAGTAAATTAATTTTGAATTGTCAATTAGTATGAAAGAATTAGTTTCAACATATTTTCTGTGCCAGTTTTGGAATTAAATCTCTGTACATATACTACTTTCTCTGAAATATCTGTACATGCTGGTCTTGATTTCAACAAAATGAATTAACAAACTCATTGGTCATTAAAATTTTGAAATTTGCCACAGAGCAGTCATATGTTCTTTTTAATGGAGTAATTTATGATCAGCTGAATTTTGCTGGGAGTTCAATACTTGCCCCTAGCTTAGATAATCTCTTTATTTGGTATTTTGAACAGAATTAATTGAAATTATCATTTAAAATATTAAATCATACCGTAAACTTATTGATGATGCTCTTATCTTTGTATAAAGCATGCGAGTTCATTTTAAATAATTAGGTGCAAGTAAGTAGTGTATGATATAATAAGAAAGATTCTTGGGCTTTTTTGGATATATTTTACTACTTTTTCTGCCTTTTAATTCAAGAGAAACTTCATATTTTAGTGCATAGGATATAAAACCTTAACAGTGACTTTCATTGATTTCACAAAGATCTTAAAATTTCATAGTATTTTCTACAAAACTGATTTTCCCATTTCATGTATCAATATTGATTATTTATCAGTTATAGACTATATCCCTTCTATGCTTTATTCTGAGTCAAACTCTTGATGTATTTCACTTTGTAATTTTAGGAGGGGGAATCTTAACTTTCAGTTTCTTGTAATTTAAATATTGATGGCATCAAATGAAGTTTTAAGCAAACCATTGTGAATAAAAAATATTCATTATGGGAGAGAAGTAAAAAAAAAGTTCTGATATGTTGTGGGTGCAAATGTATATGTTGGCATTCAAACCATTGTATGTTGTAAAATCAGCTTGCACAATGGTGTAACATATTCATAATGAAATTAGTGTAAGTTAAATATAGTGTATTGCTTACATAAAATTAAGCTTTTGCACAAGATATTGTGGGCAGAAATATTCATGTAAATATTTTGTTTATGCAAGTGTAATGTTTTAATTTTTTTTCGTCATTGTATTTAATGTTAGTACATGGATGAATGCAAGATTTTAGGAGTTATGCTAAGAGCTAGTCCATTTAATTGAGAGAAACATGCAAAAACCTGGACAAATTGGAAAAATACTTTATTTATAAATATTTTATAGTGATATAGGTTTTTACTCTGTGAGTGTGTGTACTTCCTATTTAGTTTAATTCTTAACTGTATGTTTTTACTGTATTTGTTTGCAGACTTACTGTTTGAATATTATGACCATGTATGCTTGTTTCTATAGTACACTTATTCATTACCAAAGTAACACTCCATATTTGTTACATGAAGTTGCATGCCTTAACTTCTAAAATACAAAAACAAACAATATCATGAATGATATTAATGGTGACAAAAAATTCTTAAATGCTAAAATTTTCATAGCTTTTTCAAGATTTTAAGAGTTTAACACAATAACAAATGTACAAAGTTTTATCATCAGGTATCTTGTGGTAATGAAACATTATGCATTTACAACTGTGCTAAACTTGTAATAGTTTTCTTTGTTACCCATTCAAGCCATCTCTAAACTTTATTTGTCTCAAAGTGGGTTCCTTGTCATTTGAATTTAGTTCTCAGTTTTATTCTTATTACTCTATCAATGCACATACACAAAATAGAGATATCCATTTGATTATATTAGAAACTGAACTACAGTTTTAAGTATGTTAAAACTACAAAAACGTTCTGTAGAATATACTGCACTTGCTGGATTTTAAGAATTTTGTTTTTACTTTTTACATGTAGAAAAAACATTATGGAACAATAAATGATAAATGTAAACATTTAGCACTATTTTTATATTTGCTTAATAAATATGCAAAATAGTATAAAACATTTTCTTAAATTTCAATTACTACACCTATAAGATATGTGTGAGACTTAGATTTTTTCACTGCAGCTTAGTGTACTGTTAAAAACTGCACCTTCTCTCTTTACATAAAACACAGAAATGGGAGAGAATTAAAGGGCAACAAAATGTGCTCTTTTTTTTTGGGGGGGGGTCATAAAAATATTCAAACCTTGTTTTAACTGTACTTTTTAAATCAAAATAACTACAGTAAGTGTAGTAGGATTTTTGACTATTAATTAAATCTAAACTTTTGTTACTTATAGAAAATTTTACCAGAGCTTAAGAAATATTTAAATTTGAAAATTTTATGGGAATTTTGCTTTTGGGAATGAGTCAAACTATTGGTTTCAAAAAACGTCTGGATTCGTCTATGTATTTACAGTCATTTTTAAACACAAACATTACTTCTCTTATGAATCATCTGAATTTGCATCATGTAAAAATAAAAAGATAATTTGACTGAAACTAACTTTTTCAGCAAAAATGACCTTGTTCAGAAGACAAAGGAGAATCCTGAAAATCCCAAAGATGTGGAAGTAGCCAATGAGAACACACTTATGATTGATCCCAGTAGGTAAGTGACAGCATATATCAGAATATTGTGCAGTATGAGATGATTTAGTGTGATATAAACATTCTATGTCAAGATGAGTTGACTTGAGTACTAAGGAACTAAGATAAATATTCCATGAAGGATGAAGTAAACGTTCTTATGACACAAATATTCTAAGTTGAGATGAAATGATCCGAGAACCAATAACAAAATAACTTTGGTAAAGAGAAGACGACTCTTCCAATTATGGAAAGTTCATGAACTTAAACACCTTTTGAACCATCCTTCTATTCCTGTTTACACTGATGGTTTGAAATCAGGTGACTCTGTAGGCTCTGCCATGGTTTGCTGTGGCTCAGAAGTTGCTTGCAGGATTCCCTCTACGGTTTGTGTTCAGTGCCGAGTTGTATGCCATTTCTATTGCCCTGAATCATGTAGAAGCTATGCAGTACACTGATTGTACTACTTAAACTGACTCTCTTAGCTCTCAACTGGCTGTGGAATTGCTAAACTTTAGTTCTCATCGATATTCATCAATGGCTGGCCCATTTTTCTATATCTTCCATTAGTATCCAGTTTTCTGGGTAACTGGCCATGTAGATATTTGTGGGAACAAGCTTGCTGATACCGTGGCTATCCTGTACATGGACTATAGTCCTGTATTGAAGGCTTGGCTTCACACTAGTTAGCAGTTTACTTGGAATGAGCAAGCTTTTCCAGATCAAACTTTGTGTTGTTCTTTGGCTGTCATGTTTCCATAAGGATCAGAAGGAGGAACTTGTCCTGGCTAGGCTACACATTGGTCAGTTTTTTAACCCATCGTTTTCTTTTATGTGGGACTGCTCCACCAATGTGTGGCCTTTGTGACACCCATGTCACAATAGCCCACATTTTACTGTTGTGCTGATGTTATACCATTACTACAGCAGGAGTAGCTTCTTACTGAAAGCATGTTGTTTGTACTCCACATTATGAAGAAAATGTTTTATCAAAGCTTTATTCTCATGTGATCCTTTCATGTAAGTGAATAAATAAGGACATTTAAATAAAGAGAAATTATTATTTAATATTTATACTAACTATTACATTCTTAGTCAGAAAGATCATGTTTATTTAGGTTTACTGCATTCCAGTGGTCTTGAAAAGAAAATGTATCATCTTACAGCTGCTCAATGTGCCAAAATTAAATTCAGTAGCATTATTTTTACTTTGATTGTTTAGAATAAAACTGTAATGAATAGTAATACAACTATTATCATTAAAAAATACTGTATTCAAATTATGTCCATAAATGTATTTTGTTGCTTTATGCTTATTACTAGTATAGACCTGATTCCATATTGGTTTTCCTAATGTTATTCCTTTCAAATGAGACTTGTACTAAACTACAGAAGGTGCTAATTGAAATGGTAAAAATAAAATGTATTTATCACCAAAAAACTAATGTCTAAGAGTATAGGAACAATGAAGTAAGTTCACTCACTGTTTTTATTTTCTGCTTAAGCTTCTGTATCATTTATTTGTGTTCCTTATGTTGATTTTGTTTCTGTAAATCACTACATGCAAGCTTATGTAAAGGGGGTTAACTTTTTATCTTTGAACAGCTTGATTTTATATGTAATTCTTTGGAATCATTCTATTTTTCAGTAATAAAGATGCCACAAGAGAAGAGAATGACAAAAACAAAGCACTAAAAGGATTTAACACAAACTTGTCTAAAAATAGTGAAGTGTAACTGCTCATCAGAAGTAAAAGCAACATTTTATAGTTTAATTGTTTATTAAAAGCCACATGCTACATTTTGTAAAATAAATTGTTTATAATTTTATAATAAAAAAATAAATACATTCACTGGTAGCAATAGCAAAACAGTTTTGCTCAATGGCTATAAAGTTATTGTAATAATGACATACTAGAACTTTGTAACCCATCTGCTCTGAACTTTTTTATGACTGGTGCTATTGTTACTAGTGTAGTGCATGTAATCTTTTAAGACTAAGTACACAAGATTAAAGAGTTTAAGAAATGGATAAGGTGCAAGATTATTGTTATACCATGTTTAACCTCCATCTAATAATTTTTGTGATTGCAAAATATGAGTTAGTCCTTTTTTTTTTTGTCATCAAAAACTCAAATCACTTAAAATAGCATATTTTCACTCTTTTTGTTGTTGTAAGACTTCATTCTTTGTAAAAGACTTGTATTAATTGTTTTAAATTCATTTATGCCAATGATTTTACTGATTTTATTTACCTTTTGTACAAATTGTAACTGCTTATTCCTCAATCTGTGCTGTTACAGTCTATTAAAGAGAAAAAATATTTGATTCCATTACTAAAAAATCAGTGGTTGCTCACATATTGGGGGGAGTATTAATATTATATGTAATGCATTGTGGTTCAGGTATGTAAAATTATAGTTCTGAATATCTTTCAATAAAACAAGTGTGAAATTAGTGTTTTAAATACTTGTTCATTGGTGTTATAAATGTATATTTTCCAGCAGTAGCTAACTTTATCAACATTTAATAAGCCAACACTAGTAAGTGAACTTTGTTTCTGCTATTACTGCTAATCTCCAGAAACTATTTAAATACATCATATTTATAAATAAAAATTCACTTTTTGCTCACTTGAAAGGTTCAGTATTCTGTTCTTGATGTGACTCAACAATAATGAAAGTATTGATTGAAGAAACCCTCCTAGCTAAATTTACTCTTGCTCAGATTGAAAGTGATTAGAACAATGATTATGATGTGACTTCATCCATAACAGGCGTAAAACATTGATGGTGTCCTCAAATCTATAACCTGATTTTCTTGCTCATGAAGTTTGTAACAACTTTAACAAAGATTTCTATGTGAAATTTGAGGGACAAATGTCAGTGTATGTTGTATGTACTGTTACATTCTAACATAAATTTGTTATCCATCAAACTAGCAGAGCAGGGATTCTGCATTGGTTGTTGAGCCCAACAAAACTTTAAATAAATGAGATCTTATGCTGTTTTTTTCTCTCAGTGTTGTTTGGAAATTTTCACAAAATTCCAAGATCATGAATACATTGTGCATGATAGTAATACATGTTAACCAGCTGACCATGATGTAAGATGAAGTAAAACTGTTGTGATCCCTTAAAAATCAATACTCTGATGTTGTAGTAGTGTAATACTAAATATTCCATATTTATTTTACATATGTATGCCTTTAGCAGTATAAAATTAACACTTGATGTTTTACTTCATAACTTTAGTTGGATATTAGCAAAAAGCTTTAAGCTGTTATTGTTGGAATCTACTAAATAGACTAACTTTCAAAATTTGTCAAGGAATCTATTTCTCATTTCACCATTTGTCTAGTGTGTTAAGGTAAATCAACTGTACGTTTTCATGTTCTATGGAGTTCTCTGTCTTGTTTTTATACTTTCATAGGAAATGAACCCATTGCTTTCTACAGCATTATTCTTAAACTGATGGTACTGATTTGAAAATCTATGATTTTTTACCTAATAATTTTTATAAGAACTGTTTTCTGACCTGTGTGTTATGTACATATACATAAAATAAAATAAAACACTTATCTTAAATTGTAGTATATATTCAATATTATTAGAAAAAGTATGTTATGCCCAAAACAGTTAAAATGTCATGACATGTACAAAAAACATGCCATTCAAAAAGTACTTGAGTAGCAATTTTGAACATGTCTGTAGTGTATTTTATTTGTAATGTCACTTTATTTTCCAAATAATCAATTTTGTTACAATATACTTGTAGTACTTAAATACAATTTGTTTAGAAATTGTATTATATTAAGTGTCAAATTAACTGATTCTGTGATTTTTGAGTTTGGTTGCCTATCTTTCTGTTCTTTTAATTTTATTAGATCCAAACTAAAAAACTGATGGATCAAAAAATGAACAGAAAACAGCTAAAAAGATAATTATGGGTGTTTTACAATTTTATAAGAACTGTTTTCTGGCCCACTGTGTTATGTTGTATATGCTTAAAAAGACAAAGAAATTGATGACTGTATTGATAAAACAAATAAAATTATTGAATTTACAACTGAGCATATAGGTGACAATAGATAAAATAATGCTGAACAAAGAATTGTGCATGTGGAATGGATTATGTACAGACAAACCAAAGTTAGTCAGTAGATGGTTGAACTGATTACAGGTAATTAGCTACATGGGGTGTTGAGTCTTGTAAATGAATGACCATGAATAATTACCATATTATAAACAGTCCGGCAGAATAATCAAAGTATTCAGTCTGACAATGAAAGGAATTGTTGGTTGAACCAACAGTCAAATCTGTATGGTCAAGTGGAGTGATCACTTTAGGCTTTTGCTAATACCACCTACATTAAACTATGTACAGAAGTTCATTTTTTATCTCTAAAATACTCACCCAGTCTCCTTTTAATAGCTTTTACTATACCTGAAGGCAAACCATTTGATAAGCTGACCACCCTATTAGAAAAGTAATACTGCCTAAATTGGAGTCATACCCAAGTTTTCCCATATCTAAAACTTGTGTTCTCTATTCTACTTCTGTGGGGTAAATAGGGAGAAAATAATTAGGTTATGCTATCTAGAGGCAGGAGTAGAGCATATAATTGACAGAGGAAGTGATATAGGATGTTAGCAATGATGCAGTATTTTTAGTGCACAGGGGAGCTAATGATGTAGGGAAAGTAGGTCGGAGGATCTAATTGATAAGGATATTTAAAGAAAGCCATAACAGCTTAATTCTGCTAAAACTTAATTGTGAGGATGAAATTTTAAGTAGAGTACTAGGGCTGAATACTATACTTATGTTAGTATGTAGGGATGAACAATTGGCTGGTTGGATTTGTGGGAGCAGTTCGATGGAAAGTGGGAGATTTTTTGGAACAGATGATTTACATATAAATAGAGTAGAGGCTTTGTTAGGGCAGCTTCATACTAGGAATAGACAGTGGTGAGCATCAGAATATTGGGAAAATAAAATAAGTTTTAATGTTGGAACAAAGTGGTGTTTGGGTATAGTGCCAACAAAACCTTGGCATCTGTACAATGCTCTGCATTAGCTTTGTAATGCGTCACTTTGTAGGATTCCATGGTGGGTGGGGTCAGTGGGCACTGAAGTTTTTCCATTTTGTATGGATCCCTAGTGACCTCCAAAAAAAAATACGTTGATAGGAAAGTGACCACGTTTGGAAGACATTGAACAGCAGTCTCCATCCAATTCTGCACCTGTACCTCTTTTTATCATGTATTTTACATCAGACAAATATTTAAGGCAAATATCTCCCTTTTTTATTCAAAAGGTGTAAGAGGGGCTTGCTGCCTCTCCAAAGTCAGTGAAGAAGTTAGGATCTGGGGACATCTTGGTGGAAATATGTACACCAAAACACAGTGAACTCCTGAAATCGAAGGCCATTGGGGATATACTTATTGAGGTTATTCCACATGTTACTTTGAATTCCTCTTGAGGAGGGATTATTAAGAGGGATTTGTAAAACATCCACGAGTCTGAAATCCTCACTGGATTCTCCAGTCAAGGAGTTTCTGCAGTGCCGTATCTCCACTCGTAAAGAAGGACTTATGCTGCCTACCAATGTTCTTGTATTGACATCACATTGTCACGTCCACCTCCCACTTTCAAGGCAAGTTATTTGAACTATAAGATATGGTTTTATATTCCTAACCCTCTCATGTGTTTCCAGTGTCAGCAGTTTGGACATTTAAAAGCATTTTGTCGTAGTTCTTTGACGTGTGCTTGTTGTGGTGGCACAGACCATGACGTCTACGAGTGTCAATTGGACCTTCACTGCGTCAATTATCGTGGTTCCCACCCCTCTTACTTTATATCTTGACCTTAGTTTTTGGCGGAAAAGCGTACAGCATTTAAGAACTATTAAAAACATTTCTTATCCAGAGGCTCGGAATTTGTTGTTCTCTGTTCCACTGCTACAGTGGGAGTGTAGACAGATCTTTCTGTGCCTCCATCAGAGTCCTTCTCACACCGGGTGAAGAGTCTTGCCCTCCATGGTTGCATGAGTTGACAAGTCAGCATTTACTCCTATGTCTGTCCCCACCATTGCTTCTAGTGACTGCTTGGGTCCATCTTCTGCCCCGAGGTGTAGAACCATTATTCCGTCACGCCTTCAGTCACTAGTCTCGTATTTCAACAGAGATCTGCCCAATCGACCAGGGGCAGGTTCCATAGAAGTCTACAGACCTACTTCTAGTAAAGAAAAACGGCGTGGTCGTAAACAGAAGGGTTGTCCGCCCAGTTCTCCTCCACCTAAGTAAAAATGGCCACTTTGATTTCCGGATTAGAACCAAAACCTCGACAGTTCCACTGTTAGATAGATCAACAGCAGTAAAAGCATACACTCTATGGAACGACCCCTCCCATCAATATCAGCACCACCCCAGATGGTATTGTGCCCATTAGTCTCTCAGAATTAAAAAGGGAGACACCAACTGTTCAATGAGAGCATCAAGGTCTGATTGATCATAAGTCTCTCCAAGAAACAGGAAAAGAGAACAAATAGTGATGGTATGACCCACAGAAACATGGATGGCTATGGCCTCCAATGGTATATCGAGTGACACAGACAAGGTGGGCACGTGCTGGTCGACCAACAGTGCCACCCCTCCTGGCACTCATCCATTACACAACCTGTCATTCCGGTATAAAGAAAACTACTGAAAGGGGACTGTATCAGCAAGTTTCAGGAATGTTTCCCGT